ACTTGTCAATCATTATCTAGCAGCAATGACAGAAGTGGGAGAAGGCCAATCCTCCCCTTTTTTTTTTCTCCTTTTCCAGTGAGCAGCTATTTAAGAACTCCACTAGCTGGTATGGAGAGAAAAATCTGAAGCTAATCAGCTGATTCCAAACTTGCTAGGAGTAGAAGAAGCCAAGCCATTACCCAGAGCAGCATACTTTTAATGCATCCTTTCCAACATGCTTAGCCTCATTTAACATAATGTAACAAAACACTGGCCTTCCTGATCATGTCACTGCAGCTGGCAATGATTAACAGAGACATGCAACCCCATTACTGCTCAAGTCCTAAAACTACTCACAGGCCTCAGTGTTTAGCTATGGGGAAAACTGCAAGCAAATCAAGACTTTGTATGCTTAATGTTACAGTAAAGCCCCCATTCACGCTATGCTGTGCTCTCTCCTGACAGCACCAGTATCTGGATCTGAGGGCCTAACAGGTACGCATATGTATTCTGACACCACACTTCTGAGCTTCAGATAAGCTTTTGAGAAAAAGTGTATTTCACAGAGATAAAACCAAGATGAAACACAATGCAAGCACTTTAATGTCATTTCTCGTACCCACTTGTTACAGACTGACTTAGAGTAGACATTGACTATTTGCTTTTAAGTTTTCCACCACACCAAGTTTCATTACTGCAAACAATCAAAGCTCGTATGAAACCCATGGTTCAGTCACAAATTGCTTGCTCTATGAGTGTCAAAAACCTTATTAGTTCAAGTATGTAGAACAAGGCAGATGTGCCAATAACCCCTCCACGACATTCCTGCAAGTAGTCACATATCCAGAGCACAGTGGAAAAAATGGTTAGATCTGAGCATTGGTTGAAAGATAACTAATAATTCATTTTTTGTTATATGACAGTATGCATACTGCCATCAGTTTTGTTACTGAATTCTATTCACAGATAAGATTAAGCCATCACCAAAAGCCAAACTGACTTTGCGACAAATGGTGTCACCGCTTGACTAGCTAGAGTTCAGCTACACTCACTGTGGTGTAACCAAAGACCTGTTACGATCTCGAGTTTAAGGTGCAGATGCTACTTCAGGTTTTCAAAGGAATATGAAAAGAAAGCTACAGTAGGGGGCAAAGCTGTCCAGTAGATCACCTCTTTACCAGTAAGAGTCCTTCCTGGAAGATAATACAGAAGTGTCCAAATACGACAATAATACCAGAAACAAGCACGCAAAGTAGAACTTTGCGGAACAAGTGGGAAAACACATTATACCACCTCTGAAATAGATTCTTGAGCATCAGACAAGATCTAGATCAGGTGCTGAAGTAAGGGACCTTGAAATTCAGGTTCAAGAGCTAATAAAAAAGAGCTGGAGATCAGCATATTTGGAAGTCTGGAAAGGTAAGCATGTTAATCCTGAAACACTACATTCAGTATTTCTCGTAATGAAGAGTTTAGAATTACATCCTCAAAGACTGATGAAAAATTAAACTCAGCATTAGCATTAACTACCAAGATGAGTACTAAAGGCAGAAACAGAGATTCTCCGTATTGTCAATTAAGGCAGCTGAATGTGTTGACTGTCAATCAAGGATTAATTAAAATAAGACAAATGAAATGTCCAATAAGCTCTATGAAACTCTTCATGGGGATATTCATTTAAGCACTCATTTGCATGTCCTGAAAAATACTCCAAATCGGTCTTAAAGCTGACTGTATTAGCAAGCTTTAAGTTACTATCACATTTAGTTCACACAAGGCTAGAACAGTGATTATCAATGCAGTTCCTGCTTAGCCAAGACTCTACAAAGGGATGCACTGCCGATGGGTCATTTTGTCACTACAGAAAGTTTAAACAGTCCTTTTCTAGGCACTAATAGCACCTAAAAGTGAGTCTAAGAGCACGCTCCCTCTTCCCCACAGAGCTCATCTAAGAATATCTTTGTTACATTGTAACTAAGAAAAATCCACACAAGCCGAGTCATATGTACAAAGGAATCGGGTCTGAAAATACTTATCTAAGAATCACAGTAAGTTGCTTATTGATTCTGAACAAGACAAAGCTCAAAACCGAAAGCCACGCAGCTTTGATGTAAGCTTAGTATACAGGTATGAAGAGTGCTGCACTGTAATTCCACAGTCAGAAGTGTGATGTCAGAATACCCACAGTATAAGATTACATAGAAAGTCACCAAGTTAGATTATATTGCTTGTTACCTACCTGTACGCAGTCGGCAATGAGAATCTTGGAGCAAGCAGGAATACTACATCCGGGTCCTAATGTCCATTGCCATTTGTGGTACTACGTTCCTCACAGTTATGAACTGCAGAAATGCTGGCTAAGTGCAGTTACGTAGCAGGCCACTAGTTTTAAGTGTAAATTGCAGTCTCAAAAACTCCAGCAAAAACTTGCTGCCACAGTAAATGGTTGCCAAGGAGAAGCCAAGAATTCTTTCTACCATAAAAATACCACAAAATCTCAAAAGCAGTTTCAGTTTCTCATCAGCTGTATATATAATTAGGTAGTGTGATGCGTCTACACCAAAAGATAAGATTATTCTGTATTAATTTATGAGAAAGTGTGAAGATAAAGATACCAGTTTCTAAATGCTGCAGAGTTTTTAGAGAAAACTGTTAAAATGGGCTCAATTTTGTTAAAGCAAGCTAAATTGCAACAGCCAATGTCCTCCAAGTCCAGTACAAAAATGTTACGTGATCCAGACCATCCAAAAATGGGTCTGACCAACCAAGCACTTTTCTATGATTTTTAAAATTCAATTATATAAATCTGATTTTATGAAAAGGTCCAAAACCTCATAGGAACAGATCAAAGAACGTAACTGTCTCACCTCCCCCATTTAACAACTTTATCAGATTTTAAAATTGACATGTCTGCCAGCTTTTAAGACATCACCTTTAAAAGGTCTTGATTTCAAGTTGGCTAGTTAATAGGATACCTGTTTTAATACATGCAACTCAAAGCAGAACTGGTTTTAGAAATTCTGCTTATGCAGCTACCAGGCTAGATTTAACCAAAACTTTCAGAAGTTTTGAAAACTGCCAAATCTTTCAGTAGATTTACTGATCACAGTTTTGCAACTAGTCTATTTTTAATACCTAGCAACAGTAGCTTACATACAAACAGGGGTACCAAAAGACAACCTCTGTAAGGTACAAGGACATCAGCATCCTTCACTCTTCAAAGTTACAGAACTACAAAAGAACATACTTTAGGATATGCACCAGCATCTCTTTAATAAAGAATGACATGTAAATCTGAAAAATAAACTGAAAAAATTAATGTAATGTTTACGTTCAGAATTCCCCACCTCAGACACCTTCACCATTCGTGGGTGTCCCATGAACACCCTCCAGATAATATATGCATTATTTAATCCTACTTAAATAAAACCAATTGCAGATGGACCGCTGATTTTTAAACTAAGCATCCAATACAAGGACTCCCCAATACTTGGTCTGCAGTTTAGAAACTGCCAATTCAGAATTTCCTGAGTTGCAATTCATTGTGGTAGCATGTTATCTACCCCCAAAACTGTTCTGGGAAAATAGAAGCATTCACCAAACCAGCTGAGTCACTATTCAGTGCACTTAATATTCAGCGTTACCTGGTATCAACATTTCACAACATGCTAGGGTTTTTACATTTAGGCAGTAACAGCACTTACAGTGAGTACTTCAAGAGGGATCATCTGCACCCTAAGATATTGCAATCTGACACTGAAGTTTTAACCACAGAGAAAATTTAACACAGAATTTAGAGTTAGCCAATGCTTAGCACAAGGAATGGAAAGAACTTCAGAAGATTAAAAGCTATTCACAGAATGCTCAGCAGTTGGGGAATTGTGTGAAGGTACAGCCACGCTAAGTTTACCTACTTTGTGCCACGCAGGCTGAGGTATCCTGCATTAGCACCAAGGCGTTTTACACTGGGAAGTCAAGTTCCCAGCTTATTTGGTACAATGCAATAAAAACAAAGTAACTACCTTATATCAATGAGTCCCGAATACTTTGATATTCTTCTGGGACTTAAAGAAATTGACAGCAAGCTAACAAATTCATCAACTCTTCTACAAAAGAGCCTTAAAGGGAGTTTATTTGTACTGTGTAGTATTAACTATTAAACTCCAGATTTAGATACTACTTTTGATGCATTTTCTCCAAACATCAATAATAAAGTAGTGATAACCATCGTGCAAGAATGCTAATTTCTCTGCATTTTGCATACAGCTTTTTATAATTTACCCACAAGCTACAAAGTTTAAGACTAGTTTCTACAGCCCCCTTAGTAATACAATAATTGAATTCTGAACTATGCAAATTAGTCCACTCAATTAGCATGAGGACATAAGCAAGTTAAGAGTATAAGTTAGCAGATTCTCTCCTAGTCGCTCAAGTAACACTTCTGGTCTTTTTGCCAAGCAATTTCAGGTAGGTATACAATACTCAACAAGGCCAGATCCTGTAATCTCAGGCAGCTTAACAGCAGATAAGTATCACATTAATAATCCTTCAATTAGGAAGTCAGTCAATACAAGGCATTCTATGGATTTAAAATAACCATTTCTAATCTTCCGCTTAAAGTCTTTAGAAGATTTCAAGCAGTAAATGCCAAGGTGGTAAGTGCTACCATCCCACCACCCGTTATCCATGGCTAAAATCTGAAATTCATTACAGGACTGCATCATCGCTTGCAGTGTAGCTTTCATTACTGTATCTTACAGCACTTGCAAGATTTCCACTTGCTTCCTTATTGCAGCACAATTAAGGCTCAAAAACCTGTACCTACTGGAAAATTAGGCTACTATTTGACCCCATCTTAAACTAGAGGCAGAGGATCATGGGAGAAGATCTCACTCTTCACTACTGCTCCACACCCTGGTCTAGTTTGATCTCAACTGCAAGACTCAGTTGGTTTACTGCTGAAGGTGTGGTATTTAGCCTCATGTTTTTAACCACGAATGGCAAGAAGAATTACTACATTTAGTTTTCTATTTATTTGAAGCACAGTAAAAAAAAGTTGGTACACTTTGGGAATTCAGTGGCACAAGGTACACTGCCATCAAGTTAGGGACGTTATACATCAAAAAAACAGCTAAATTTGTTTTGAAACACTGCATTACATAATTAAATTGTACTCGCCCAAACAGACCACTTACAAATATTAGGTCAGTAAGTTTCTAACATCCATAAAAACGTAGCTTTCTTACTAAAATGCAAGAATTAAAAAGTTGGTGTCTAAACAAGACAGACAAAAACAAACTGGAATGAAACTACAGGTCACATCTAAAATCGGGGCTTTTTGTTTGGGCCTTCATATTCTTCTCTCCCTCTACCATATCCTGTTGGTGTTCCAGGCCCCATTCCTCTAGGACCCTGGCCACCCACAGGCCCCGCACCTCCCTGCCCAAAGCGTTCAGGACGCTATTGGAACAGAATTAACAGTTCATTATATGTAGTTGATGTCCATGTGTGTTAAGTATATATTTTTAGAAGGTTCCGTAGTCAAGGTTCGTCGATACAATCACCATTGAGCCGATCCACAGGTACCGGGAACATAGAAAGGAAAAAAGGGTAATTTAAAAATTAGTTTATTGTAATACATGCCTTGAGGTATGTTCCCACTTGATGCATTCTCATACATCTGTTACAAAGAACAGATCCTCCCTGCAGTGCTAGAAATGTAAGCATTAGTGCAGATGTGAATTAACAACTTTTCCAAATGATCTCTAGCAATTTTCAACCAAGTTAAGGCAAACAGCTTGCAAACTTCTCACCTTTAGTGCAGTAAAAGTTTAGCTTACATCACTGTCATTTCCCAATAAGCCTAGCCAGAGACAATAAGTTCAGTTCACTGAAGTATGAGCTGACATTCATAAAATGTCATTGTAAACAGAATGCCTACTCACCAGTTAATGGCATGTGCTGCAATAGAGACCATGTGCTTTTCAAGATGGGGTTAAGACTACGGTCTGCTGACTAAACTGCAGAGGCCTTAAGTAGTAATCAAAATTGTGATAGTGAGCACTACTGGATTACAAGAAGAAAAAAAGTGAAAAGCTAATGACCAGTGATTTACCTAACCAACGCAACAATTGCTGGATCAAAAGACTTGCAGTAAGTCCCACGTACTTCAGAACTGCTGCTGTATAATATGCAAAATGTGTTCAAAGAACTACATTTTATTCAGTGTTTCAAGCTAGAACTATGCACAAAGGGTTATGTGCATCCAGTAAATATTTCCCTTCCCACCCCACCCTCATCACAAGCTCTTGGAAAATTCACTGTAACTTTAGTGTTGAAAGGCTTCATATACTGAGATATAAAAAGCTAGATTGCCCTGCAATAAAGCAGAGACTCCAGATATCTTTATTAGTACCTCTATAGTTGCATGTACTTCATTCAGTTACTGTATCAGTAGATGTGATCAGCGTTCAATCTACAGAACTGACAAATTAGAAAGTCAAAGATAGCTTTAAACTTTCATTTCAAGTAAGCTTTCCACTACCAAGTAACAGAACAATGGTAGGTTCAGTTTGTTACAAAAGGTATCTGCAACTGCAGTAATTCACACCTCTAAGTTCTTGACTTCTGAAAGTTAACTTCAATCCTTCCAAGACAGGAATTTCAGAAACAGTACTTAGCTTCATGACAGCTTATGTCTGCCTGCACTTCTTTTTAAAGATACTAGCTCAGTAACTGGGACAGTACTGTGTAGCAGAGATCCCTGTCCTAAGAAACTCAAGACAGTTAAACCATCTTACTGTCACACCTTTTGACCATATCACGTTTTCAGGTATTACACAAGTTCAGCATGCACCTGTACCATGAATTTCAGAAGGAGAAAAAAACGTACACAGCATTCACCACAGACTGCCTAACTGTTCACTGGAAACTTATGAACTGCTTAAATATATCATCAGTAGATTATAGATACGTTAAGGCCACCGGCACTGTCTACTGAATCAAAGATGCTCTGCAAAATTATGATTCCAAAGATATGGTTCCCATAAAAACAGAAGATACTTGACAAGCTACTATGGTAGCTTACCGCAATAAGCCAGAGGCCTAAACCCACCCAAAAATCATTTACTTCAGCTCGTGCCACAGAGAGTACACCCTTTATAAGGAGGGTGGAAGCACACTAGAATCACGACCTGAACCAACAGATTTCCATCCTACCCATTAAGCATTTCTTTACTCTATCAGTATTGCTTCAGTGTGATAACACCAAGCAGGCTCAAAGCCCATTCACACATATAGTGTGCCAAAAACGTACTGCTTGGAAACATACCTCTAAACACGAGATATGCAGTACTTTAAGAAACTCTTATCTATAGTCATGCCCAACAAGGAAGAAACAACAACAAGTAAGAACAGGGTATCGTTCCTGTGTAAGACAGGAACCACAAAATGGCTGCAGTCAAGGAACGCTGGAACATGCTAAAGCTAAAAAACTGCATTTCTGCTCTTTATGGCAAACATGAGCATATAGAATAAACAATATGCTGTTTACCACTGATTACTTCAGTTAATCTGCTGCTTAAATAGACAGGAGGAGTACAGATTTTGAATTAACAGCATATCCATACCAAAGTGCATCAACTCTAAACTAGGCTTGGAAGGGCCAAAATAAACGCAATGTTGCAACTCCTGAAAGGAGAACAAAGCTCCCACCTGGTCATCAATACAGAATGCCAAATTACTTAACTACTATGTAATTAGGTATTTTAAATCTCAAATTTGTAAGTTCTCTACCTGTATCAGAATAGGCAATTTTTAAAAGAAAATTGTATTCTGAAACATCAATTTGTGAAAAATCCTTCCAAGCCTAACTGTGATGCAGAAATTCCAAACTCCAATAAAATCAGAGTTAACTGCAAATATGCTTAACAGCACATTTGAATTTGCTTACAAACAACTTCCAACTATGTAAGCTACCATAACGATTAATAACTAAACTAGTACTACATATCGCCAAACTAGTCCTCCACGTTAAAAACCTGACAAGAAAGTCAGCAGTTAAAAAAAGAAGATTACACAACCATCCAAATACCAGTAAAGAAACTCAATTCCCAACTGCAACATTTTCCTTGTGCTAAACTAAAGCCACCACAGGATACGTTACCATGTCACTTCCCATCATAGAACCACTCATGGCTGCTTGGCCAACTCCTGGATTAGCTTCATAACCTATGCCGCCACCACCTCCGAGAGGTGGAAATTTCTGGGCTGCAGAAGCATAAGGATCTAAGAAAGAAAAATATATAATCATATTCTGACAATTTCTAAATTAACCACATAAAGTTATTATTAAAAAACTCTTTACCTCCCATGTTCATTGTGGTGGCACCACCCATTCTCATGTCTCTCTCTCTCTGCACAGAAGAAACAACTTTTAGTATAGGGTACTCAGTGAAACCTATCCATTTAAGGAGATAAAGCAACCATACAGCCGATTACTATCATTTCTTCTACACACACAGAGACATCCCATTACCTAGCTTAAGGGAAGCAAAATGCATTGTATTTTGAAAGCATATCCGAAAGTGTCTGGAAATCCCTGAACAGGGTAATAAATCCAGGAAACATCATGATTTCACTTACTGGATCCATGTAACCCATTCTACTATAATTCTCTTCCCTCTGTCTTCTCATTTGTTCTTCCATTTCTCGCTGACGTATCATCATTTCCTCTTCCCGTCTGCGACGCTCCTCCTCCTGCCTGATCATTCCAAAATAGGCTGTTAAACCTCAACAGTAACTAACACATTCAACGTCTAATGAACGTCACTTGCACAAGAATAAGCCACTGTGGGTTCTACAGGTTACCAAATCATTGCATTTCAGAGAAAAAAAGCTCAAACATTCAGAGAAACCTCCGCTGCAGTTCAATTTCACATACACCAAAGCAGCAATGGTGTTTCTTAAAAACAAAAAAACATAAATCATTTGAAATACAAAAATGTACAGCCACCATGGAAAAACATGAAAAAATCCTATGGAAGTCAAACCAACCTCAGCTGAATTTCCTTGCGTTTCTGCATTTCTTGATTGTGAAGTTCTTCCATACGTCTCAGTTCTTCCTGACGCCTCATAAGGTCTACAGAAATTAAACTCGTCAAAAGTTGTTTCACAAACTCATCTCTCAGATTAAGCTCATACTTGAGATGAATCAACTTCACTAGCGTTTGCTTTTAAGACCAAAATTCCCAATTTCTATTCAGTAGAATGTAGCAGGAATTTATTCATGAGGCCAGTCATACATTTAAGCTAATGGAATAAAATTTCAGAACCAATTACCTTGACGCAAGAGGTTTGCCTGATGTTCATGATAAGCATCTTCCATCTCACTTTCAAGCTTGTCCTTGGCATCTTTCATGTTTTTTGCCACTTGTTCTCTCTGCTGTTTTTCCATTTCATCTAAAGATTTCCACCTCTGGGAATATTCAAATTCAAAACTGCCAGGCTGAGCAAAACGGGGAGTCAGGCTGCATAAGCCTGGAAACTGAAGGTCAGTTTAAGACCTCAAGCAGAACAGGAAAAATTACTAGGGAACATCAAAGGAACTCGGAAAATATTTCTCCACTACTATGTGATATATAAAACTTGCTGCGACTGAATACTGAAGAAAGCAACGTTTTATGGATTCAAGCATTTAATATAAGTTCAAACATTTAATATAAATTATATAAAAGTAAATAAGGAGACTCTGCACAATTGCTTCCCTAGCAAATCTGTTCAGCTTCTGGTACCACTGCTTGTTTACCCTGTTCCTTTAAAATCTTAAATTCTAAATACTTCGCTACTGGCAACTGCCAGAGGCAAAACCCTGAAGGACAGGCACAGTCAGCATAAGCAGTTATTCAGGAGGGACAGATTTTTCAATGCTGACTTACCCAAAGCACAGCATTAAAAGGCTATTAGCAATGTTTACTTTAATCTAAATTGCCTTAAAAAAACCTGAAGGCTGACGAGCTTATTCTGCCATGTAAAGAAACTGATGAAAGAAACTAAGATTCAGTAGCAGATGGAAGAAAACCAGAAGAATTTGAAAACACTTTATACACTTGCATTCAAAAGTGTTTTAAAATTAAGAAAAAATAACGAGCCACGATGAGTATTTTCAAAGACGTTGTCTCAAAGCTGTTTATATTTTTGATCACAGCACAGATTTTGAACGTTTCCTTATACGAACAAGATTCACAGGATCTTCCCCCTGCACTCCTTTCTATAACACAAAATATACAACACTTCTACAACAAATAACAGGCTCAGTGTATAGAAGCTAATGTAACGCTAGCACTCAAGGGACTCCTGCAGACCCAAACCTACCACTCCCTCCATTTTCACGTCCACTGATCCGCCTCGTAAGCCAACAGCTCACAGACCTGTTAGTTTTTGGTCACGGTACAACTTAATATACTTTAGCTTTCCTTTCATGCTCTTAACACTAGTTCTTAGAAGTCCTTAAAGTCCTTATCAAGATGTTGCTTCCATATGTGCCTCATCTTTAAACGTGGTCACAGTTCTCAATAATAGGTGAGCAATGAGTTGGAAGCCTGATTTTCCAAGAGCTGCACAGGTAGGTTTCTACATCTGTCAATGGAGAAATACTGTTACCATGCTACATATTTGTGCTTTACTCTGTTACTCTTTGTGATACAATGTAGAAATTGTTTATGTAATGCTTAGTGAACATACTAATCAAAAGTAACACTTCACAATTGATGGGTATCAACTGTAAGAATGTTACAATTCCCTAAAAAAAAGAGACTATTACCAAAAACAAGAACTGAGAAGTACTACACAAAAATTTTAGCTTGTTTCTGAAAAATTACTCTATTTCCTTCAGGCAAGGAAAATAAACTAGTATCTATTTATTATCTGTTACTCTCTACAGCAAAGCATAGTGCCTACTTTTGATACATCGGATTCTTCTGGGCAAGCTTTTCTGGAAGACCATCTTCATCATCCAGTTGCTCCAGCGGTTCCACAATAACTGGCCTGGGAGTGCTGAACAAAAAAACATTAGTTTTACTTTCCATTTAACCCTCCATTATGGAAAACTATAAAGAAATAAGAATTTTACTCAGTTTAGGATTTATATGCTACTCACATAATCCTAGAAAAGCAAAACACTTACGTTGTCAACAAAAACACTCCCTCAGTACACCGTTCAAATGCTTTTCTTGCAGCTGGCTTTGATGCAAATTCAACAATGCCTTTTCCTGTTGATCTGCCTCGATCGTCCACAATCACAACAGCTCTTTCCACTGGACCAAACTGGGAAAAAGCTTCCTCCAATAACTCGTTGGACACATAGGGTGAAAGATTACGCACTGAAAGAGCGGCTGCATGCGTGGCAAAACGAACGCGAAGCTGTCGACCCCTCATGGGGGTATCGTCCAGTTCTGCTTTTGCAATTTCTGCAAGAGCTCTAGATTCCTGAGGAAAGTTTAAGAACCAGTTTTAGAAAATTAAGTTATAACTCACCGATTTGTGAGAATTAAATGGACATAAGGTATGAAAGCCTACCAATTTAATGAATCCAAATCCTTTCCCCTTATTGATAAAAACTTCTCCTGGCTCCCCATATTTGGCGAACAATCTTTTGAAGTCTTCATCTGTGATATCAGCAGGCAAATTCCCAACAAACAAACGGCAACGCTGAGTATAGGTCTTCTCCCC